GTTTCCTATAATTTTAAAATTGCAGCAGGAATAACCTGTGTCAGAGTAATTTTAACAAAGTTACGTACAAAAGGAACTTCATTAAAACCTGTTTGTGGATAAAGATTGTCCAAGTTAGTAGAGTCCTGAGAATGACTGTTGATGTTGATGTTGACTGACGTTACGAAAAACTTAGTGGTAGTGATCTTCAGAGTCAAGTGAGGAGTAAACGTCAGGGTAGCTGTTTTTGTTATCTGATACTTATGTCATCGTATTTAATATAATGCTTACAAGAACTTATGGCCTGCTTATATAGAATCCGAGCTAGCCCGCTTATCGAGATAACCCGTTAAGCGAGATCTCCCTACGTAGTACATATTACATTAAAAATCTCTTTGAGTTTATATGGCGAAGCGGGCTGGCCCGCTTAGCAATATCTCACATGGGCGAGATTTCGTCTGCCAGAGATGAAATTTTTCTCATGTAAACACTCAACTGCCGGGCTAGCCCGCTTACCGAGCTAAATTTTAGCTATTTGAGCATGCGTATGATAAAATATTAAAATGGCGGAATACGTGCACGTGCAAAAGAGAGCAAAAAAGACACGAGAATAGTTCAAATAATGAGCTTCGGTTGCGATACAAAGATTATGGCGCATTTGATTGATAATCTGTCTGATTATAAGTAGAAGATGCTTTATACAAGTCTTTATTTCGACTGCGAAAAACGCCTCTGCCAGCGAGATGAACGTCATGCAAACACATCAAAAGTTCATCTCGCTTACTGGGCTATCTCGCTAAGCGGGCCAGCCCGGCTCCAAATAAACAGCCCTTAAACATAAGACTTACTGAACCCAAACGAGCTACAAAGAAACAAGACAAAAACAATCACATTGCTAAACATCACCGACTGACAAAACACAACATTGACTGGGACTCGATACAACACTGACAACAGACAACGGCTCACCTTAGAAAGTTGGTATACCAACTTAAAAAAAAACCTGCAGAGCAGATCACAATTACCGGCACCTTACAAACGACTAATTCACAATACAAATAAACAAGCAACTAAACGCATCACTTTAGACTAATCCACGGTGACAATACACAACTGACACCCAAACACCCACACATTTCCTGTACACACAATAAACAATGACGTAAGAACTAGATTACAAATACGGCTAACATGACGTTTATTTAACTCTGTAGGTGACTACCGCTAAGGTTATCGACACGACAGTCAATATCAACAGTCCTTCACAGGACTCTACCAATCTGGACGATATTCATCCACAAACATTTTGTACGCTATCACTAACTTAATTACCGACTTCGTCGACGTGATAAAATTAAACATTTCCTTGAAAAACGTAATTTCCATTGTAAATGACCAAAAATAATCGTTTGAATTAGAAAAGAGCTGACTTGAAATTTGAATACTAACCCAAGAACTCTGTAAAGAATTGTTTTTGAAACTATATGACCATATGTATTTTGGCAGACAAAACATCATGTGTCAATATCTGCTTGCTAAATACAAATAAAATAATATCGTAAACAGTCTTTGAGACTGTTTAGTGCACGTCTGATTTTTTTTTTATAAAGACAATGAAAGCACTGTATATTAAAACAGTTTTGCATATTTTAGTAATAACTTTCTTTTAATGATGATGTACGCTAGATGAGTCATCATGACTTATAAAAGCAAATCAAATATCAGACGTTGACACGTGATGAAGTCTGGGAAAATTCTTTATTCTTAAAAGAACTCTTGGGCTATTCTTGGCTGGCAAAATACGTCAAGCCGCCCTGTTGGATGATTTTAACAAAGATTTTCTTTATTTACAATGCAAATTTCCTCCAACATGGCAAACATTCCATTATTCTCCGAAGGGATGGGTTGCAAGCCACCAATTTTGGTGATTTAATTATTACGGCAGTTGAGCTTTTCAAGACAAAAACTAGGCCTTACCGTTGCAACATTTTTATTCCCTTCAACATCTTCGTTCATGTTGACGGATAAGTCTTTTTCGTCTTTTGAATTTTTCTTACATTTTAAGGGTTTCATGTACAAATTACGGGAGATTGGCTCCCGCCGTGTTTTGCTAGAAAAGACAAATAACATTTATCAATTTTCTACATAAGTCATCATTGACAAAAAATTGTTGTTGATTAAGTATTGGTAAAATTATTTAGAGGGCTTTTCCGTTACATGTAGAATTTGAACCTTTTTAAGGAGGCCCCTAGAGTTCACGCAATATTCAGGTGTTTCAGGTAGCCTTCACTAAAAACATTATTTTGATCAAACACACTCAAACTTTGGAAATATGAACTATCCAGGTGTATTCAAAAATGCCAGTTATATTTAAAGATGCTTGAATAAGATAACTGATTGCGTTGCTATGGCAACCATGTCTCATTTTCTTCTACACTTTTATTGTGTAGTTTAAAAAAATTGACCGTATCTTTTTTTTTGCTCAGTGAATTTTTGAAACAGAATTCTTGCGACATGAAAACTTATTAAATGAAGATATTATCTTCGCACTTTGCTGGACAATTTAAGCAATCGTCTCAGGACCTGAAAAAATCAGGTGACTCTACGGGATTCGAACCCATGACCTCTGCGGTGCCGGTGCAGTGCTCTGACCAACTGACCTATGAAGCCACAGTGAGCAGGTCAATTGTCTCGTGATGTCGTATGAATGCAGTGCGGTGTTTGAAATTAAATGAAGATATAATCTTCGCTCTTTGCTGGAGAATTTGCAACGTCTCAGGACCTGAAGGTCAGGGATTCGAACCCATGACCTCTGCGGTGCCGGTGCAGTGCTCCACCAGCTATGAAGAAGACAGTGGTGAGCAGGTCAATATTGTTGTGCTCATGATTTCTCGTGAAAGGAATGTCGTATGAATATTTTATGCAGTGCGGTGTTTGAAATTAAATGAATAATTTTTTCAGGTCCTGAGACGATTGCTTAAATTGTCCAGCAAAGTGCGAAGATCATATCTTCATTTAATTTCAAACACCGCACTACATAAAATATTCATACGACATTCCTTTCACGAGAAAACATGAGCCCAACAATATTGACCTGCTCACCACTGTGTGGCTTCATAGCTCAGTTGGTCAGAGCACTGCACCGGCACCGCAGAGGTCATGGGTTCGAATCCCGTTGAGTCACCTGATTTTTTCAGGTCCTGAGACGATTACTTAAATTGTCCAGCAAAGTGCGAAGATCATATCTTCATTTAATTTCAAACACCGCACTGCATAAAATATTCATACGACATTCCTTTCACGAGAAAACATGAGCCCAACAATATTGACCTGCTCACCACTGTGTGGCTTCATAGCTCAGTTGGTCAGAGCACTGCACCTGCACCGCAGAAGTCATGGGTTCGAATCCCGTTGAGTCACCTGATTTTTTCAGGTCCTGAGACGATTCTTAAATTGTCCAGCAAAGTGCGAATATCATATCTTCATTTAATTTCAAACACCGCACTGCATAAAATATTCATATGAAAACTTATTTGCATACTTTATTCTACGTTGCGTATGTTACATTTTTTGTTGTAATTAACGTCCAAACGAACTTTTAATGAAATTTACCAAAGGAAAAACAAAAAAAATGATGGAAATATTTTATTGAGTTGCATGAGATAAGTTCCCAATGTCATAAAATTTTGTTTTCGCAAAGCAAAGAAAATAGTGTAGTACATTATATAGAACTTAAATATTACTAGGTAGCTAAATACGTCAACAAATTTACTGGTTAAAATATTTTGATTTCTGTTAGTGGTGGCAAAGCCAGCCTATTTTTAGCTAGCTACTTCTCCAATTAAATTTGTTTTTAATCACTTGGCACACAAGGAGTAGAATTAATTTTCTAAAATACTACTAATTTTGCAGAGAAGTTTGTATTATGGGAGTAGCTGAGGCCCTAATTCGACAGGCAAAATAATTCCTGCGAAAAGTGAAATGCGCAGTATGCGGATAGTTACTCTAATAAACATATAATATATGTAGATAGGTGTTGTAGATATCATATTATTAATGACTTAATACTTTAATATGCAATTATATAATTGAGAAGTGAACATGTTGATAGAAGCAATGAATAGAACGAGATATAACAAGAAAATAGCAACATAACGGAGATGGAACTTAACAGATAACGTATTGTTATTACTTGGAATGAAATCAAAAAAATATTGTAGTTGCACATCAGTGAGTCTAATGAACTTTACCACTTTATTATCTTTTAAAGTAAATAGAATGAGCTTCAACTCACAGTCAAAGAAAAGTTTTATCTCTCGAAATCACACTTGTCTACATCACGCATGCATAAGATTATTTCACGTGTTATAATTTCGTATTTCTCCAAGAAAAAACATTGATTGTGAAACTAGAAACGATCCTTTATGTTCGGATAACAGCAAATATCAATTATAAAAATATCCTGTGAAAATGTTTCATTGATTACTTTCGAAGACAAACATTTTCACATTGTAGGTAGTTTGTTGCCTGTAAAGTCATAAATGGTAGAATACAGATTACACTGTAATCAAACTCAGCTTTTGATACATTTGTATTCTAAATCTAGCACATATACGCGCAGTGCTGTGGCATTATATACAAGAAAGTTATTCAACTAGTCATTTTGAAGAGCACGTAAGCGAAAATTCAATTTATTAAAGTTAAAAAGACCTGGATATTAGTTGTTAAAAATATTTATCAGATCATAAAAGACATTTCATGCACTGCAATGTTGCAATTTAGGTTTTATTAAAGGTGTTGAAGATAAGTTGACGATATGCCTTTTAGAAAACGACAAGAAATTATAAATTAAATGAACGAAATGCATTGCAATAACTATAATAAGCCATGATACGCAGAAAAATCTGTCTAACGTGTTAAAGCTTGCTCGAAAAGAAAAAATGACTTAATTAAGCATGAGCTTATGATTTGCAGTTGTTGAGGATTTTTTAGGAGAATGACAGCAGTTTTTAAGTACTAACCATAAAAAACAAATTATCAACAAAGCCAGAAAAATAATCAGAACTGCACCAACTGCAGCAGCAGCAAGGACAACTAAAAGAAAGAGAGCTCATTGCAGTCATTCATAAAATTTTTCGTCCAAAGTCTCTATTTACTACAAGTTCTTTAAAATAGAACTTTGTTCATCGAAGTTTGAATTTTAGACAACCTTGAGATACCTGTGGAAAGTTAATGAGCAAAAAATCGTAAAAAAGTCTAAAAAATCATACTGATCTATATAGTTCTTAATGAAATTTTATTAATCGTTGGAGTATCTAGACTAAATGCCTCAGGCAGAAAGAAAAATTACAGCAGACTTTGCGTTAAACAAATGGAAATTACTTTAGTCACTAGAAAAACAACACGAAAATAGGATAGCGGTCAACAAAGCTCGTTATTAAATAAATACAAGGCATTTTGTCTTTACTTATACATCGTTGCAGCCCCCGGGGAATTGAGCAACTATTCTAGTAATTAAAACGAACTATTGAATAACTTAAAACTATCACACGCTTTTACTTGACTTTGCTTTTTTAGGAACACTTTGCCGGATCTTTCACCCTTAAATTTAAAATGATTGATTGCCGGCACGATCCCGGCTAATCGGGATTCAGTAAGTCGTGAAATGATTTCGAGGCATTGAAAAAAGGCAAAACTTTAAGCGTAAAAATTACAACTGTTTGTTAAGCGCGACAAGTCATTCCAGCTGAAATTCATAAAATAAGGCTAATTGGTTATTGTAATTTTAAATGTTTTGCGTAGTTATTAAATCAGAATATTATGAAATTTCTCAAGAAGATTTATCTGATGACGAGCATTAAATCGTTTCCATTTCCCAAAATCATTTAACGCTTGGATGAATCCGGGCTACCCGGGCTCATGTAATCAGCCCCTCAGGTTCCTTCACCAAACTGTGTAGTTGTTCGAACAGCTCATGGAAGCAAAGAATAAAGTCCAATAAAACGCATTGCAAATTTACCTTAGCAAAGAAAGCGAAATGAATATTCACGAAACGAAACGAAACTCAGTAAAAGGAAAATATTGCCTTCAAATGCTAACTTTCTCTTACTTTTCGAATTTCTTATTCTTGAAGCAGCACTTGTAAAAGAAATTATGGTAGAGTTATTTATGTATGACATAGATTACAGTGATTTTTTATTACCTACGTTTCCCGAGTTTATCTCTTTTTTTGAAGTGGCATTGAGGTATGTCTTCGTAGATTCCGTTGTAGGTACTACAGTTAATTAAGTTAAAACTTTTTAAATTACTCATGGTGATGGATGCTGTTGATGTCTTAATGTGAATAAGAAAATGAAAAACAGATGGCAGTATATTAGAGTCGCCTTTATATCTTATTATATTTTGACAAAATCTACGCACTGCCCGGTTGAACACAAACAGTAGATTTCCATTTAACACCGTTATATCAACGAATTTGAAAAATACACACGCAATGGATACACCTGGTAACTTGTTAGCATGTTGTCGCAAAATGAAGTAGATCAAAAAACATAATGCGAATAATATTATATTTTTCTCAATACTAACAACCACTTATTTTTCTATCCATTTTTGCAAAAGCCTTCTCTTATATGCATGTCAAGTGATTGTGTTCATATGTAGAAAAGTTGAGTCCTCAAGATTTCCCACAAATACGAACTATAAATTATCTTTCGAAAGTCTTTTGTGATGCGTATGAGTTAGTTGTTCACTCAAGCAATAACACAACTTTCACTTGTTGATTTATACATTGTACTATGATATAAGACACTTTTATTACTAGTTATCAACCAACAAGCCATGTTATTTGTTGTTAATTTTCACATCCTTCACGAAACTGTCCAAATAAACAATAAACAAAGACAGTGGCACTTGTTTGGATAAACATGTGGTGCAGAAAAAAGAAAAATTTTGTTACCTGGGTCATCGCCATCTTTGTTGTTGAATTTACTGTCTTCTGTTGTTATTTTGTGACCTGTCGTAGCAGTTGTTGTTGTGGATGCCAAAGTGTTACTTTTTGATTCATCAGTGCTGATGGTCGCTCCGGGTGTCTTAATGCTCACTACAAACATGTGTGTCAAGAGATAAGTTAAGCCTAATCAAACGAGCGCAACATGTCTATCCAACATTTTCCAACATTGTCCAACTTTGTTGGGCGATGTTGGACTTTATTGTCATGAACTGGTCATATGGGCCAACTTTTCCTATTTTGAGTGGCTTAATCAACGGGTCGTACGTTCTTATACAAACAATGTCGGATAACAGGCTCATAAAAATTCGGCTTTATTTGACATCTTTGTGTATATTGGAGCTTATTGATGACAAAAGAAACTGGACAAGGGGGAAAACGATAAAATGAAACAAAAGAATTTACAAAAGAAGTTTTATTCCAAATATTATGTGAGAAAAATTACTTCAACACACACTTACACTTACGCATGCCTAAAGCCAACAAATGTTGTCGAACATGGTCAAACGACTACAACATTAAAAATTAGCATAAAATGTTGTTGAATGAATGTTTTATGCAGTGCGGTGTTTGAAATTAAATGAAATATGATCTTCGCACTTAGCTGGACAATTTAAGCAATCGTCTCAGGACTCTTAAAATTTGACTCTTAGTTTTAATAGTGGTCAAACGGTGCCAACTTCATATCACAACAAAAATGCGCGATGTTGGATAAAAATGTTACGCTCGTTTGACGAAGGCTTTAGAATCTTCAAGCAATAGAAGTATGTACAAAGCAAATTGAAGCCCCAAATATTAAATTTTCTTGTAACTAGGATGTCTCAAAATAACTTTAAAAAACACAATGAAAACTGTCGATGGACATACTGGACTAAGCCAACTATTTGCTCCTTAAAGATGTAACTTAGGCAAAAAAAAACACTTAAAATATCACATGACATCTATTGTGTGTTATACACTCTATACACAACAGTTAAATGGAGTGTAATATTGTTTTTAGTTTGTATTATCCACATAAACTATTTTAAGCCTGACTTTGACATTTCAACACAAAGAAATGTTTTAAAAGACAGCATTTCAATGAAATGCAAACTTATACTTAAATATTCTTACAGTTTTGTTTTTCATTAAATAATCAAATGCTCGTTTTTCATTAAATAATCAAATGCTCTTAATCACCTAATTAACATTAAATAATCGATGCAAATTAGGTGATTAAGAACTGGGAAAGAATTCACTATACTTCTAGTCAAAAACAAAATACATTTATTATTGTGTTCAAGGTGTAAAAGCTTCCTAATGAATACGAAAATGTCGATACTTTATCGTTGTTTATATTTTAAATGTGACATCTCATTCATGCCGTAATGTATACGAGGCGCATTTTTCTAATCACATATGATTTCTTTATACATGTAACAGTATAAATTTCTCTAATTTCGTAAAAACACTATTGCTAATGCGCATTTAATATACACGACGACTTTTTTTAGAATAGACATGTTTCGACATCTCATGATTCCATCTTCAGTATGAGTGAGAGAATAAATGATACAAGGTTTATAAAGTAAATGGTTTGAACCCGGGAGTATCGTTATATGTTTGTAAATGATGATCGTCCAGGTTAATAAAGTCCTGAGAAGGACTGTTTTTGTTGTTGTTGACTGACGTTTCGACAACCTTAGCGGTAGTCATCTTCAGAGTCAAATGAGGAGTAAACGTCAGGTCAGCCGTACACATTTCCTGTACACACAATACAATGACGTAAGAACCAGATAACAAATACGGCTAACCTGACGTTTACTCCTCATTTGACTCTGAAGATGACTACTGCTAAGGTTGTCGAAACGTCAGTCAACAACAACAAAAACAGTCCTTCTCAGGACTTTATTAACCTGGATGATCATCATTTACAAACATATAACAAGGTTTATATACAAGTAATATGATACAGAAATTACAGCAATAAAAAGGAAATAAGATAAATTAATGGAGGGCGTCCGAGCGTATTATAAACTAAATATTGTATTAAATTTAAAAAGTTGAACATTGAGGTCAGGGTTTGTTTTGTTAATATGGAGTGCTTCTTTGATTTTAAGGGAGAATGAGGTGTCGGCAGTGTCGATGATTTTGAAGCAAGAGGGTGAATAGCTGGTTTTACATCAGTGAGATTTAAGAAGGTGTCGGTAGATATGAGAGTTTTTGTCTGTTGTGGTATGTTCCCTGATTCTGGTGAATAAAGGGCGCAAAGTTTCGCCAATGTATCGGGAATCACACCCCGCGCAATTGAATTCATATACCACCATAGATTTAATCGAATCAGGGATTCGATTAAATCTATCGTGGTATATGAATTCGATTGATTCGATTAAATCTGTGGTGGTATATGATTCCTGATTCGATTAAATCTATGGTGGTATATGAATTCAATTGCGCGGGATGTAATTCCCAATACATTGGCGAAACGTCGCGCGATTTATCCACCAGAATCAGGGAACATACCACAACAGAAGAAAAACTCTCATATCGACCGACACCTTCTTAAATCTCACTCATGTAAAACCAACTATTTACCCTCTTGCTTCAAAATCATCGACATTGCCGACACCTCATTCTCCCTTAAAATCAAAGAAGCACTCCACATTAACAAAACTAACCCTGACCTCATTGTTCAAGTTTTTAAATTTAATACAATATTTAGTTTATAATACGCTCGGACGCTCCTCATTAATTTATCTTATTTCCATTTTATTGTTCTAATTTCTGTATCCTATTACTTGTATATAAACCTTGTATCATTTATTATCTCACTCATACTGACGATGGCATCATGAGATGTCGAAACATGTCTATTCTAAAAAAAGTCGTCGTGTATATTAAATGCGCATAAATTTCTCTATTCATCAATTATTCAATAACATTGTTCAGAAAGTAATCGTACACGTTCTTTTTCGGATTCATTATCTACCTTAAAACAAGAATATTCTTTGGAAATATTTTTGATATTTGTAACTTGTTTTCAGAAACTTGTTTATAATAGATCAATTAAGAATCGTGTATAACTTCGAATCGTGTATTGATCAGTGATTATGTTTAGTTTTTTTTTTTTGTGTTTAAACGTTTAATTGTTTATTGAAGGTGCCCTTTACGCTCCAGAAGGAGACAAGTGAAAAAGCCAGCAAGTGCTAGTCTAAGACTACGTTTGTAAAATCAAAAATGCACACACTGCAGCATGTAGTATATTTTTGCTGGTATTATTTTCTTTTGCTATCACTGTCATTAACTTTACAAAGCAAAGAAAATATCTCCATACCTTTTTCCAGTGTTGTGCAAGTGTAGTAAACGAGTAGAAATGGCGTTGTGCTGCACTGGGATGGCGTGGATAAAAAGTCATTTTTTTGTACTTCAAACGAGCATTCTTTATTTCCATGGCATCGCTTTTTCACTAAGCTCAAAGCAGATGACGAAACGCATTTTTTTTTGTCCAACGATATCTTATAAGGTTTTCTTTCATTCCCATTTTCTTTCATCAAAACACCATATTCTGCTGAGTGTACGTCAATGAACCATGTAGGACATAATTTATTGCATTGAATATTTAAATGTTCTTTGTTTCCAAACTTTCTTTCGTAAACTATTAATAAAGAAAACTAATATAAAAATATCTAATTTGTGAATTTTTTTGAAGTAAGCCTAGAGAGCAAAGATAATTGGCTTAAGGATTCATGAGAAAAAATTTGTATAAATTTGTGAGTAGCAGCTGCGCATGCACGCTGTACAAGCACTGCATCTCTGAAACTGAAACTTGTTTGGGTATGAAATCGTAATATTTGCAAAAAAATAACATTTCAAATTTCAGTCTTAAATTAAAACAGTTCAAGATATTTTATTTAGCTGGAAATCGAAGCAAATTTCGTGACATTGTATTTGGGCGTAGATGTGAAAAGTTTGCAGTTGATAAATTGCTATTTTCGTGGTCTAAAATAGAGGTACAAGAAAGAAAAAAATAAAAAAAATGGTATTGCCTCAACAAATACGTATGTTGGCTATTTTGGGTATTTTAATTAAAAAGAACATAAAATGAAAGGCTTGTATGGTATAAATACGCTTCGTTAAAGGTGAATAACGTTTTTCTGGAAACTTACCATAGTGCAATTTGCATAAGTTATCCACTTTGCACACGTTTTCCACCATAGCCACTACTTCATTTTGATGAGGTATCCATTTATTGTTTAAAACCGATGAACCACCAATACATATATCGTATGGAGTCTTTCCATGATAGTATTCTAAATTTCCATTATTAGTTGGTTGATATCTTCCTATTTTACCACCGCAAAATTTAGTTAATAATATAAGACTAACATTTGTGCCAGGATCTGATGATGCCAATGGAATACCAGCAAAACTAAAAAAACCCATATAAAGTATTAAAAATTATGCTAATATAAACGATGAAAGCAACGAAATGCTTTATAACATTTTAAAAAAATCAATAAAAACGGTATATAGGTCTTGTTATTTCTTTTTTGATGTAATGGTTAAGAAGTTATAATGCTTGTATTGTATGAAATATTGATGATGTTTTGGGTAATTTTTAACTCGTGAAGATAAAATAAACCAGGTGTTATTTTACATACTAAAAGGGTAATACAACATAATAAAACGTACATGTTACATATCAAAGAAGAAAAAAAGTGAAGACACTATACAGTTCCAATTTTATAACTCACCTGCTCGGTACGACACATTTTCCTGTAGCAACGTGATACGGTGGATACTCAAATGAGACTAAGAATAAAGCATCTCTTGACGTGCAATCATGCGACCAAATGAGAGTGTTCGCATCTTTTACATTTATACAACGACCGTTGGCGTGTTGAATAGGACCATAAACTGAGAAAAAATTCAAAGATCCGTTGTACTTTTATGTCTTCTTTTAATAATTTACCTTTAAAATAACATATTGTTGAACTCAACTTTAAAGTTACGGTGTGTTATCCAAAAAACAAAAATGAATCAAGACAAAAGTAGAAGGTCTTGTTCACCGTAATTAAATTTTAAATTTTAAGTGCAATCAGTTCTCTTGTAGTTAAATTTGAACATAAATAAAAAGAAACGTTATGTTTTTATGAAATGGTACAAAAATATCTAGCTATATGTATGGGTGAATCTATTTGTAAAAGTTAAGTTTTTTTCATAAGATTCCATGTTTTTTATTTATATATTCATCTATTTTTTTTATATTTATTTATATATTCATTTATTTACTTATTGTACATGTTTATGAATATATTTTTAAACATAAAATCCTAATTTCTTTAATGATATAAACATAGTCTTTTTCATTTCTTTTTGAGCGTCTAATAATCCAGTTCTTCAGAGAAAACATTTTTGTTGGAAGTGTGGATTCATTAAGTATAATCATAGTCAAAGTGAATAAATGGGGGAACAGTTCTGGACAAAAAATTCAATTGTTTAACGAAGCTATTATTTGTGATTTTCAAATAGCAACGCATTTTGTTTTGTCGTTCCGCATGAAACACATCAGAAAAATTTCAACCACAACTAAATGATACTTTATCATTTGAATTCTTAGGAAGCAACGTATTCTGAGGGAGGTAAGAAAAGACCAAAAATGAATCAAATGCATAGTAAATTCAATTTACAATGTTACCTCTTTCTTTGAAATAACACGGAGGATTTACTGTTTTGTCAAAACAACATGTTTTTGGACATTGATCTTGCTGTTTTACATTATTTCCACATTCCAGTAGTTTTCCTCTGGAAGCTTCACACGATAAAGCTGTAGAAAAAAGAACAAAATAATATATGATACCTGCCATGGCCACATATATAAGCGAAATAAAGATAAAAGGGCGATGTTTTTGTGCAGGTCAAAAAATATTTGAAGCTTTACCAGATGATGGTAAAGAAATTGATTTTAAGGAATAATTAAGTGTTTTATTCAGATCATTTAATAAAAGTTTTGTTTTAAAGGTATAGTACTTTTTCCAAGAAAACAAAATAGGCTAACTACTCTAGCAGCTTATGCAATAATGCAAGTTTAAAATAACTGAATGTCAAGTTTAAGCAATATTTGTTCAACATTATGGCATGAGAGAAAAACAAATATCCTCCTCAAATTTTGGATGGAGAAACAGCACTAGGTCGAAATGATTAAAAAAAATGAAGATACAAAAATAGTTATGTTCCCATGATAATATATACGAAAAGACATATTCTTACAAAGAGATGAAAAAATGGTTAGTCATTAGGAATCATGCGCAGTAAAGAATTACAATGCTGAAAAACTGGCCACTTAAAAATAATTGCGTTTGTTATCATAAAACAACGTTACTGAAAGTGAAAGAGAAACACTCGTATGTGTGGATGCAAAAACTTTTATTATTAATTGGAAACTGTAACTTGAAAATGTTTTTTCGGATAATAAAGACTCGGAGATATATAAAAAAACTATCAACTTTTAGCTTTTAGCAAGAACATTAAAGAATTTCTGCCATGTTCTTCATCAGACGATACGATGCAATAAGTATACACCGTTGCTTAAAACCAAATAGGTTTTAAAAATGTCACTTATAGATTCTTTTGATGTAAAACTTCACATTCTACAGATACCAACTGAATACGCTTTATAAAATACGTTTTTCGTAAAACTAAAAGAAAGGAAAGTGTGTTCTAGTGAATGAATTATTCCAGCCGAAAGATGGAGAGCATGCAGAAAATGAGCAACCATAGGTGACAGAAAGCCATTGTTAATTAATAATTTCTATAATGAAGAAATGAATTTAGTCTACAACTAAAAATAAAGGAGATCCATACTCCTGTCTTTGTTTTGTTCAAATTCCATATTTTCCTCCATGCCACTAATGTTTGCAATACGGAAGTTATTCAGTTATATATATTTTACAATCATATAACAATATATTATTTAAGATAACTCCGGATAATTACACCTCAGCCACACTTTTTAAATTGTGAACATGACAATTAATCAATGCAGGTGGCATAAATTCTCAAAAACAAAAGCAAATTTAAAATTTTTTTCTTAACATCAACAAACCTGTAATCAAGTGGAAGGAACCGACCAAGAACAAGACGTGAGCGAAAATATTAAAGAAATATACCATTTTTGCCTCCTTTTGTTCTAAATTTCCAGCTTGTATTCTTACTGAGAATTATATAGTTGATATAAAGAATTCTAAAAGGAAGTAAGCTTAGTGAAATTTACTATAGTCTCTTTCTTAAACAGAAAAATATAATAATCTCACAAGAGACAGAGAGGATAAGAGCACTTATAAACAACGTGCGATAAAAGGTTTTCAAAAAGGCTTTCGATTTTCATTTCAAGTGTTAGAAAATTTTGAACATTATTGCACAGTCAAATAAACTTACAGAAAAGTACAATTGCTCCGAGTTGGGTGAATTAAACTGCGAGTGAAGAAAACTTGCGATTTTATCAACTGTACCACGCTACTTAATTAATACACGATATAGAAAGTTTTTCCTTTGCCTCTAGAGAAAATATCAACGATTGGAATGGGGAAATGTGAGCATTGAACGTACTGCTTGTTCTCGCAGTTCATTTTATAAAAAAGTATAAAACATTTCAAAAGGCAAAAAAGGACCAAATGAAGATATCGTAGAGAGTAAAAATTCAAAAAAAGAACTTCACAAAACTAAAGGCATGACAGTTGATGGCACGTCTTTTTGAACAGTCGTAGTTACGTAAATGGATTAAAAATAACTGGAGCACAAAAATTTTGATAGTTGCATCAAAATTTAAGAAAAGAAATCTGCAGCTGTTGTCTACATTTCATCTCGAAAATAAGGAAAATACATCATATATTGCGTATACAATACTTAATTAAATGGAATTTTACTTTCTTTGTATATGTAAATCATCGAATCTAGTGCAGTCATCAAAAGGAATTCATTAGCAGTACTTATCAAAAAATCACTGTTCACTGAAGCCGTTCATTACAAAATTAGCTTTTTTAACAAGAATGCTGTTTTACAACCCATGGTAAGGTTCCAATATCTACGAAATACATAAAATATACCTACCTATGTGGTAAAAAGCACTTTCCTGTAAAGTTTTTCTTGATGTTCAGTCGCGTGTTCAAAATGAGTCGATTGCTTGCCTCTTGAAAATTTATGCTAATTCTATTTTGGTACTTAATGCGACATTAATCTGAAAAGAAAATTTAAAGAATTGGCAGTCTACCCTTCTTTATTAAGGCTTACCTTAGTCATTTTAAAATTTGTCCACATAGCATTAAAAACACATTGCCTAACTACATAAAAAAAAATGAACAAAAAAAGAAGGACATTACATAGCATTAGTTTTTACAATGCAATTTACCAGTTTTCCAAAGCAGCTGTGAAAAATAATCTACCTTAACAAACATTCTAGACAAAAACGTAAAATTTCTTTTAACAGCATATCATTTCTGGCATGATATTAAAACAAAAAAATTGCTAATTATCGTTCTGTAACTCAATCAATAAATCATATTAACCGCAAAACACCCAGCATAATTTTGTTTGTTTGTTTGTTTGTTTTACATATTTCTTTTTACGTCAACTTTCTTTATCAAGAAATTTGGTCAGTTATGTTACAACGATTAAAGGTAATATCTCTAACCTTATGTATAGGGATGTACCGATCAAGAAGAAGACAAAAGTGTGAAAGAAGTACGTCGTTATTTCCGTCTTGTTTTATTTTAATGCACGTGTACTTGGTATGACAGTGAAGACAGTAAAGCCAGTATGACTGGAATTTTTACATAAGACAGATTTGAACAGCAAATCTTCCTTACACGCAAATAAATGAATTAGCTCACATCTAATCTGCTTTATGAAAGTTTGATAACTATTATAACACAATCAAGTCGCTCATTGAATTGTGTTTCAGTCACAAAGCTGTTATTTGCAGATGTCTATGCGACATATGACATATTTACTAACATGTTGCACTTATATCAATGTTATAATCGTTGAATTCAATGTTATAATCGTTGAATTCTAAGATATTCAGGAAGGTAAAAAAAATGAACCAATGCATGACGTAATCGCAAACTGATATCTTCAAATTTAAGATTTTTTTTTAATATTTTGATATTTTAATAATATATCACTATTAAAAAGAGTCAAAGAACAAAATTAAACTTACTGCCGATCAATGTGACAGATGAGCTCTGTCTATATGCAGTTGATGATTAAGTTGAAAAAATTCAAATTATTTTCAATGTAACGTAGTTTATTTAGTAATTTGTATCATAACGCACTGAAACAACTTCAAAAGTAATTTATTGTAAGTACAGCATGGGTCCACAATCATATAAATGTTATGAAAATTATATGATTTATAGAGAAATGGATATAGTGCATTTAATACTTTCCCACTTCTTTCCAATGGAATGCTTCTCACAACAGTAATCTAGAAGAAATTTGAAAAGCAATAATTATCAGTAAATTAATGCGAATAAGCAGGTTTTGTCGTTGAACTTACGTTTTTGCATAACATTGGTAACAATCATACTTGACATATAGGATTAGCATTTCTCGACTAATGTAAATTTTGTTTACTAAATGTTTGACAAAATTATGCCTATAAAAAGATGTCTTATATATCTACTCTTATATAACACCTGTGATTATATGCTGAACAATTCTCAACTTGTTTATTTTATTGACTAAATTTAATGAAACAAAAATTAAGAATATCTGTAAAATTCAGCTTTTTACTCCCTTATAATTACAAAATATCATCTTTGACATCTTAGTACACGTTTCACGTTATATTTACGTTAAAAAATTTTATTTTGAAATTGTAATTAGTTCCGAACATGCTTTAAATTAAATAATTGCCCAAGGGGTGTCCGCCATTTTAAAATCAAATACGATTATGACGTCATCTTTGTGATTGTTTCATTGGATTGCATCAGTGAACTCCATATATATATATCTGGAATGATAACGACAATACATTTTATAGATATAAAATTGAAGCCAAAGTCCTAGTCTCTTGCGCGGTTTGTACGTCAGTTCCAGTCCTTCAAAGTCGAATATTCACGCGGTTTGTACGTCAGTTTCATTCCCTGAGTGCCAAACATACACGGCCAATATAAATTTGAATACAAACTGCAAAAGCATAAACATATAAACAACATCACGACAAACAACACACTAGGCCAACTCTTCGCAAAGGTTATTTTTACAGCTAAAACTTTACTACAGTGAGTTCGTTGTAACTTACAACTTGTAACGAGGAAAAGCCAACTGAAAATTACACTTTATGCTAAAAGGCAATACAATAAAATATGACGAGAAAATATTCAAGCATAAATTTTTCTTTCGTCGGAAGGTAAATTTTCAAACGGTGTCAAACAGTGTTTGTCTTTTTTTGTCGTTTCAATGGATTTAAAGATCTGTTTTTCCGAAGAAAAAAGAAACTTGAATATCCAGGTTCATAAAAAATGTTGAGTCTATAACTCGCATTTTACTTTTTACAGAGCGATTGTATCTTTCATCGATTTTGATAGTGCTTGAAATACTAAATGGTTGTCATCTCGACATCAGTAATTGAATTTCCTTAAAGACTTTTTTTTTTTAAAGGAAAACCGCAGCGTAAAAGCAGATCGACTAAGTTCACCTCACCCTGCTTCTCGATTTATCACTTTGATTCACTTTCCGTGAACCTTTTCATTCCAAAAATTTCGGTATTTTTACGCTCTTATCAAGATCCGAACTTTACCATTACCAAGGGAGTTACTCGTAGTTACTGGTATCGTAGATATTATTGTCGTAGTTACTGGTGTCGTAGTTACTATTGTCGTAGTTACTGGTGTCGTAGTTACTAGTGTTGTAGTTACTGGTGTCATAGTTACTATTGTCATAGTTACTGGTGTCGTAGTTACTATTGTCATAGTTACTGGTGTCGTAGTTACTATTGTCGTAGTTACTGGTGTCGTAGTTACTATTGTCATAGTTACTGGTGTTGTAGTTACTAGTGTTGTAGTCATTGGCGTTGTAGTTACTGGTATCGTAGTTACTAGTGTCGTAGTTACTATTGTCGTAGTTACTGGTGTCATAGTTACTATTGTCGTAGTTACAGGTGTCGTAGTTACTATTGTCGTAGTTACTGGTGTCGTAGTTACTATTTTCGTAGTTACTGGTGTCGTAGTTACTAGTTTTGTAGTTACTGGTGTCGTAGTTACTGATGTCGTAGTTACTAGTGTTGTAATCATTGGCGTTGTAGTTACTGGTGTCGTAGTTTCTAGTGTCGTAGTTACTAGTGTTGTAGTCACCGGCGTTGTAGTTACTGGCGTTGTAGTTACTGGTGTCGTAATTACTGATGTCGTAGTTACTAGTGTTGTAGTCATTGGCGTTGTAGTTACTGGTATCGTAGTTACTAGTGTTGTAGTCACTGGCGTTGTAGTTACTGGTGTCGTAGTTACTAGTGTTTTAGTCACTGGCGTTGTAGTTACTGGTGTCGTAGTTACCAGTGTTGTAGTCACTGGCGTTGTATTTACTGATGTCGTAGTTACTAGTGTCGTAGTTACTATTGTTGTAGTCACTGGCGTTGTAGTTACTGGTGTCGTAGTTACTAGTGTCGTAGTTACTAGTGTTGTAGTCACTGGCGTTGTAGTTACTGGTGTTGTAGTTACTGGCGTTGTAGTTACTGGTGTCGTAGTTACTGATGCCGTAGTTACTAGTGTTGTAGTCATTGGCGTTGTAGTTACTGGTGTCGTAGTTACTAGTGTTGTAGTCACTGGCGTTGTAGTTACTGGTGTCGTAGTTACTAGTGTTTTAGTCACTGGCGTTGTAGTTACTGGTGTCGTAGTTACTAGTGTTGTAGTCACTGGCGTTGTATTTACTGATGTCGTAGTTACTGGTGTTGTAGTTACTAGTGTTGTAGTCACTGGCGTTGTAGTTACTGGTGTCGTAGTTACTAGTGTTTTAGTCACTGGCGTTGTAGTTACTGGTGTCGTAGTTACTATTGTTGTAGTCACTTGCGTTGTAGTTACTGGTGTCGTAGTTACTAGTGTCGTAGTTACTAGTGTTGTAGTCACTGGCGTTGTAGTTACTGGCATTGTAGTTACTGGCGTTGTAGTTACTCGCGTTGTAGTTACTGGTGTCGTAGTTTCTGATGTCGTAGTTACTAGTGTTTTAGTCATTGGCGTTGTAGTTAATGGTGTCGTAGTTACTAGTGTTGTAGTCACTGGCGTTGTAGTTACTGGTGTCGTAGTTACTGGTGTTGTAGTTACTAGTGTTGTAGTCTTGCCGTTGTAGTTTTTTATGTCGTAGTTATTGTGTCGTAGTTATCAGTATCGTAGTTATTAGTGTCGTAGTTATTTGTGTCGTAGTTACTTGTGTCGTAGTTACTGATGTCGTAGTTACGTATGTCGTAGTTACTGATGTCGTAGTTACTGGTATATTTAAAATGCAAAAAGCAAAATGTCAAAAATGTAGAAAAACTGAGTAGCTACACGTCACAATTTAAACATGCATGGCTAAAACTATCTATAAAAACTAAATTTATTCAATTCAAGTTCTTTTAAATTGATTTTCATCCTCTATGATGCTCTTACATGTATTCTTTTACCATTAGTGCTTGGTAATAATCTTGATTTATTTTCGTAGTTACATCAGAAAATATAAAAAGGAAAAATCAACTATATCACCTGACTAAAAAATCACATTTTGTTGTTAGGCATGACAAAGCGAAATGCAAAATAATATTGTATAGAAAAACCTCAATTCAGTTTTTTATAAATTGATTTTTATCTTTCATCATTTCAGTTCATTTCTTTTGCTATAAATGATGGTTATTCTTATTCCTTTTCGTATAGACCAGTTTTTGATGTTTTTTCTCACATGGGTTGTTTTTTCGTAGATTGAAAAGTTTTTATTTTAATTAAAGTCCACTGAGTCATGAAGGGAATTTTTTATGTATTGCATGTCTTCTGGAACATATTGAAGTTTCCTTTTTGACCATCGACGATGGCACAAAAATATTAAATACGAAAGAAAAATTCCCAACAAAACTCCTGAAATGAACGCCACAAAAATAAAGTACCATTTTGTCGCTGATGAAGATGACCTTTCTGAAATTGTAAAAAAACAACGAGTGTATTTAACTTGTACCTATCATCTAGAAAAAGACATGTCATATACATTTTACAATGAATAGCTAATAAGTGCAAAGAAAAGTCATGGTACAGTTTTGATAAGAAAAATCACAGTTCATACAGACTGCTTCATTGCGACGTAATAACTACTCAAACTTTTTAAGATTTTCATCAAATCTCTCGCAGTATTTAGACTATAAAGATTGCCGAAAGTAAAAAGACAAATGTATTTGATTAAACTGCGCCCAAAATTAAGTATGCACGGCTGACTTCACTAAAAATATTCTAAAACTTTTAAGCTATGTGTATAAGACACGCAATGCCACTTGTTTGCCGTGATATATAATTCGATTACTTTTTCATTACCTGATGTCGTAACTACTGGTGTCGTAGTTACAGATCTCATAGTTACTGATGTTGCACTACCGTTCCCTGAAAAAAAAAATTATCGAAAAAGACAGTAAGCCAAAAAAACACTTTACATTTACCAACCATTCCTGAATATAATCGATATCTACATTTTTAACGATGAAGGAACTGCTTAGTATACTTCGATTTTGTATGAAATAATCAATAGTAATTTACACATCGTTAGTGTCACTAGCGTAAGAAACTCGTTACGCGGGGTAGGGCACATATTTATATGTGAGTGTTTTAATGAAAACAATTGATTTAATTCAATACTGCAGAACATAGATTTATAAAATATTCCCCCATTTATTCAGATGCTACGCCACTATTTAATGAAACTTTCGCAGAAATATATAAAGGACGGACGACAAAGGTAGCCTCCCTAAGTGAATTTATATTACCAGGTTTGTAGCTCTTCATTTTTAGAGATATTTATAGAAAATAAAGTTTACCATTGAAAAATAAAGAAAACGAAAATGCTATGGCGACAATTATTGACTATAAACTTTAATCACTAAAACACAAGATAAGAAAATTTAAGAAATGGTGGGCATAGTGTTGACTTATGCTATTGTTCGTTTGCCAGTTTATCTATCATAATTTCGTGGAGGAAACGGGTTATCTACAGCAAAATCTATCTTTTTTCATGGACGTAGCCATCAGCTGTCACTTAAAGTTTATAAAAAAGTTTTTAAGTATTTGCTATCAGCCCCTTACATTTTCAGCAGCTTTCTAACGAGCACAAAAAACAAAATAATAAATGAGTAATTCTTCTAGTTTTGATAGAACTTCAACTGCCAGAAAGACTGATTTTTTTATTAATTTAGCAATAAAATGTATTGTGCAAACATTTGTTTCTAAAGATTATGAAATGATTAAAATAGATCAGATTTTTAATGCGGGCAGCACATCCATTGATGTTCTTAGTTTTTATAGGGAGCTACCTTCACCAGTTTATACTCAATAATTCAAGTTAAAGAATTTTTCAACATCTATATTTGCCTATGTTCTCAACTTTCTACAACAAATATTGGTATGGCAAAATTTTAGCCAGCTTTTCAAATAACAATAAATTTCCACACCTGACATTGAAGTTTTGCATGTGTAATATAGAAGTAACGATGTAAAGTTACTGCAACTTGATGAATTCGATAAGAAATTATCTTTCCTCACGGTAAACAAACATCTGCTCTTTCCGTTACATTGCTTTTGCAAAACTTTATATGCTGACGACGACAGACATTTATTGTCTAGCAAAGATATCATATATGGTTTTCTAATACCACCATTTTCTTCCATCAAAACACCAAATTCAGCTGATCGGACTTCAATAATCCAGTTAGGGCAAGATTCATTTCATTGAATGTTCAAATTTTCGCCGTCCCGAAACCTTCTTTCGTAAACTAACAATGATAAGAAATATCTCAATAACTAAATAACTATTAAGTGCTTATAAGCATTATATGTAAAGAGAATTATATTATATAGCATCATATTTTTTTGTTTTAAGATATTGAGAATTTTCATTACATGGCTGGATGTGCCACAAAAGAACTTATATCCGAATTGTTGAGAGGCAACAACATATTCCGTATATTGTTCCGTATACATATTCCGTATACATCTTCCGTATATTGTTTGGCAACAACAACACGTAGCCGTCATCAATCTGAGTACGATGTTTTGTAAAAAATTCGTAGGCGCGACTACGATGTTTTTTTAAGCCAGGAATGTAGGTATATTTTATAATTGTGTAAGAAATTAGTTTACAGTACTATTTTCGCGCATCCATGCTTTACTTTAGAACCTTTTTTGAGCGCATATGTGCATTTAAAAGGAAATGTGACTTTGATAACTTTCATGTACTTCGTACGCAAAGTGAACGGTAAACAAACAATAAAATAGCATAAATATATCGTACATAAAAGTTAAAATAGTGAAGATTTTTCACTATAAACAGTCCTATGTTCTTGCAAAATCAGTATTACCGATTAGTTGATATCTTTATTGACAAATGGAGCAGTAGCTGCTTCGCAAACGTCGGTATTCTTCACAATAAAAAGGCTCGTTCTGTTGTTTATAGCTAAAACTAAATTTTGACGAAGCGACAACGACAACAAACTTCCTCGTGCTATTCCCTTACACGGTCAAACTTCGAACTCGTTGTAGCAGTAGTACTTTTGCCAAAGCTCCCTATCATGTTTAGATTTTTCGTTCGTGTTGCAGAGACGAATGGTTTCAATTTTCAACACATTACTAGGTAACCTCGGAGGTATTGAATATTGCCCTACTTAATACTGACTCGAAATACACCAATTGAACTCAGAGATGGCGGGAAAACCAAGATAAATGAATAGATGCTCGATGTATGATTTTACAGTATTTAAGATTGCTGTGCTGTATTCAAATACAGTTAAAAAAGTCAACATTAGCTCATATAAAACATATTGCCCTTATTGGTTGACAATATGTTTTTTTATGAACTAACAAAGAGCTCTATGAATTTCCCTTGATAAAATTGCAAATATTATTGCTCATGCTCCCTTTGAATTCTATTACGCGAAAAAAAATTAACGCGGGCTTAAATACTTTTAAACTTTGAGGAATTGAATAGAAAATGAAATTTGAGCTAAAAGACCAAATCTTCCATAATGCTTTGCGGCAACATACGTAAGACTATTAGATCGCTGTCTTGCTGGTTGCCTAAGACTTGCTCGACGCGGCAGCAATAATTTATACATGATAATTTTGTTAGCAGGTCTTTTTTAAAATCCCTTTGTCGTATATTTACTTTTTGATTTTCAGAATTCGTTTTCTGACAGAAGCCTTTGGTGAAGAGAAAATGTACATTTGCTCGTTTCCCTGAAATATATAGTTATGGCAAGATGTCGTAAACACTGCATGTTAATAGAATGGAAGTAAAGGTTCTTATTGAAAGAATAACTTGAGTAAACTAACTTTGTTGGTAAAACACAACGTCCTGTTTCCGCGATGTATATTGGATAATCATATGACACCAGGAAGAAAGCATTTCTCATAGTGCAGTTGCTTGACCAAACAAGCAGTCCATCACTTTCTCGCACAATTACGCAAAGTCCATTAGCGTGCTGAATCAGACCATAATCTAAAAAAGGAATTTTAAACATCTCATCACGCATTTGTCGAGAGTACAACGCTCATAAATCATTGATATATAGTCACGTTCTGTTGTAGTAACATGACAGCCAACTCAATTTTAATAATGAAAATAGAAAGTACAAAAATTAGTGTCGTTGACAGCCTGCAAGTATGTTCATGCAATGTAAATACTTTGGAGTTGCTCACTTTAAAAAGAATAGATTTCTAAAGAAATGAATAATGTATATGATGAAAAATTTTACATAGCATGAACAAATTTACGACTGGCTACGTCACTGACGAAAAATTTGGTAATTTTATTGAATTAGAGAAAATTCAGACATGGAATATGTTACTGATGCAAACACATTCTATACGTGGATAACTATATAATATAGATTGGCTACATTCTTTTCCATAAAGGAAGCTCTCTGCCAAATTATTTTTAAGAAAAGAAGGCGAGGCTGAGGAAAATTGCATCACGTGTAGGGAAGCATTTGTTGTCTAAACGACAGAATCACTTTCCATAAAAACAATGGTAAATTTCACCAAAAAAAAAGCAAGTGAAACATGCAGCAAATTTCCCAAACTTTACATATCATGCAATTGGTTATTTTTACCTTTATCAGTGAAATAACATGAAGGACTTGCTGTTTTGTTATAGCAACATGTTTTCGGACAATGATATTTCTCATGTACATCATCTACACATTTAAAACGTCTTTCTCCAGAAACATCACACGATAAAGCTGTGAATGAAATAACAATAATATTTCTGATGTCTATTTACATGGTAGACAGACGTCTACAAAAAAGATTTTCCTTTAAGAATCCTTAAAAAATCCATAATTTTAAATAAATTTAGCTTGAAGGGGATCTCATTCTTTGTAAATAAAGCTGACCTGCCAACCTTTTTTCAAGTCGTAGAAAAGGTTTTACTGTAACTCTTATTGTAAGTAAATTATTATTGTTGTGACTGCATGGTTTTCTTGGCTATTATTATTAAACAATTACTATTACCATTCAAATTTATCAATCGCTAATTTCTAAATTATTACCAACATGAAAATTATGTGAGAGCAGTGGATTTGATAACTATGAAAATGTATATTGACAGCAGCAATAAGTATAATTATGACATGCACCTCACAGTGAGATGGAAATACTGCGTTCCAGTCTCATGCAAATGATTTCTGACCCAATGAACTATATACCTGATTTAGCTATAACTCTGCAGTGACGTCTTACAATTTAGGCAACCTACCATCGCGAAATGTAGTAAAACTGACAATAAGTACGACAAAAATCTGCTTCTTTGTTTGCATACAGTCGCAGAGCTGAAACTGTCAAAGTGTAGGTCGTTTTTATGAAATGTAAGATTGGTTTTATAAACTTTCTCTTATTTTCTTCATATTTGAGAGTTTCGTTTTCACTCTCTTTAACACTGTAATCAGACATTGAGTGCGTTGAGTTGCAAATTATTGATCTGACGGGCAAAGACATTTTGAAAGCGTCCTTTATTACACGATTACTTTAATTTTAAACAAAACATATGACTGCATGCAGAAATTTAGCTTACACAGCATGAAAGGCTCTTCAATTGTACACGACAAACCTGACACTTTAATAAAGATGGCCTTTGTTTCGTTTGAAAGATGAGAAGAGGAACTGTGTTTGGTCTATTCTAAGGCATGCAACTATTCTGTCGTTCAAGTACAGTAATAACAAAAAAATTCAAAAGGAATGTGTATAATGGTCTTAGCAGATGCTACTCAGGTCTTTTTTGAAAGAGCAGATACTAAAGGATGTTATGCTCTGTCAAAAAAACCTTTATAGCAATTAACCTATTGTGAAATATGTATGTTTGATCACTAAGATAAACTCACTGGTGCATTACGCTGGATGTTTTACCGTTTGAAATTATCACAAACCGTCAATTTATAAAAGTCTTCGTAATGGTTAGAACCTGATCAGGTGTGTTCTATAGGATTTAGAGTTCCGAAAATTAGATAGAAACTTTTCATCTAATCTGACGGACTCCAAATACCATAGAGCACAAGTGACCATGCTCCAACCGTCCTAGAACGTTACCAAAGACACGAGGGTATCAATTTAACTTAATAAGTATATTTATAATTTCGAGAATACTAAAAAGGAAATGAACTATAACAATATCTAACTTAGTATTCTCTATATACAGAATGCCAATAAAGTAAGAGAATGCCAACTAGCTATTGTATTCCATTGTTTTCACTCCATCGTCACATTTTCTAATTCTAATAAAACAGATTCCGAACATAGACATCTCATTTTTTTGATATTCAAGCTGATGTACAAGAGCTTAGACAATAGATTGTGTAATATTTCGTCTTTACTCCAAACACACCATTAGACTATTAGTTTTATCTATTAGTCTGATGATGTCTTTGAATAAAGACGAAATATTACACAATCTATTGTTTAAACTCTTGCATCACAACTCTTGAGCTTTTAATCTCAAACCACCTCATAAATTTAGAAACTATAAGATATAAAACATGGAAATACTTTACGCTGATAGGTCAAATAGCTTTGGCTATGTTCTAATGTTTTATGATGAGTATGGATGTACAGTGATTTATGGAAAAACGAAATGCATTTCTGCTTGATAATATACTGGCAGATGGTCGTCAAATGGTGTTTCAACAACCGTTAGTCTTACCATTTGAAATGAGCTGTGAAGTCAAAAGCAGATGTATCGTGCAATTGATTTCTTATCGATCGGCAAGAGACTGAGTGAAGAATAGTATAATTATAGAGCAACCATACGATCTCCCTTCAAAATATAACACAGATGTTGATAGATTGACATTAAAATGCAAGTATGAAATTGGAATTTTGAAAATGGCGTTCATAACCGCTATCTTGGCTTACAAGTATAAATATCAACATCAAAAGCAAAGGACTTGATAAATCTGCCATGTACGCATTTAAGGTTGAGATATAGTATAAAATCCCAGCTAATATACTCTTCAGTCATGCAAAACAGAAGTACTGATTACGACCAAATACTTTTTGCTGGCTACGCCGCTGATAAGTGAAGCAAAGAGCCTACAATAATAAAGATTTCGCACATTGAATGAATGAATGAATGAATAATTTTATTTCAACACGCTAACCATTGTCAACAAGGGAGTTGTTTTCCACATGGGGCGTGCGCAAATTTAACAGAAATGAATTTTAACAAGAATACATTGTATATATTGTACACCAAGCAAATTTACTGATGCAAATAGTCCAAAGGTATAGTATAGTTAAATGCATAAAAGCAAATAGTACAAAACTCAATAGTTTGTCACATAACTTCACCAACCTGTAGCTAACCGAAATAAGCCGACCAACAACAGCATGTGAGCAAAAATATTAATGAAATATATCATTGTTGTCGCCTTATTTCCTTAAATTTCGATCGATTCTTTATATTTTGAGTGAAAACCATGCAGTGAATACAACCAATCTCGAGAACAAAACAATACACGGTGTTATCCGTTCATTTACCAGAGGAGCAAATACACAGGGTGCATCAAAAATGTATTCCCCTGCTGAAGAATATAAAGGTCTTTTTACTGTAGTCAATTGAACATTTTAGTTGATCAAGCTGACGATATGCATGAGCTGATACGATGACCATCTGATTATTCCCAGCCACTTTTTAGAATTTCTAACCTGTAAAATAAAATGTCGTCTAGTTTGATTGATGCGAGAATATTTAGAGTCGAGAAACAATGAGAAGTCATTTTAGAGGTTGCAAAGAAATGACTAATGCTATCAACTAGCTGGAATAATGGTTCCTAGCGACGCTGCGCAATATTCGCGAGGACAATAACATCAAATATTCCGACACTTGTGACCCTTCCGTATATTGTTTGGCAATCTAATAATAGCGTTGACTTTAAATTTAATGTGAAGGAATTCTGCAAAAGCAACAAAATCGGAATTTTTTATTCTCAACCCAATGAATTAGTTTTCTGAAATTTTAAAAATTTACAGATATTCATCTTCGTCAGACATTCATCGATTTTAAAAATTGTGATACAACTGAACTTGTAAAACGTAATTTTGAATTAAATCTTTTAAGGACGACTCCGCTCTCCCCCCCTTTTTATTTCGCGGCATTTACTGCAAAAATGAGGACGTGCTAAAGCAAGGACTTCATGTTCAACCCCACTCCGTTGAGTGCGAAAATGCCCAGATCTTTTGCAACCAATTAATGAAACTTTAATCTTACACGCTGTACAATGCAAACTATGACGAAACACTTCCCTTACAAAATGTAAAAACTTGCTTTAGAATTTCATTTAAAGAAAAGAAATCCAATTCATTTGCTATGTAAATTTGAGCAATCTGTTTCCATTTGGAATAAGGCAACCAAAAGGCATAATTGATGCTGTCTTTTTTCGTTTATATTTGAGCTGATTGCTACAATGGTAATCAATAACTACAATCAAATGCATTGAATTCCGAAACCAAAAGAAACATGACCTAGGGTAAATGCAACTGTGGTAAATAACAAAGGTAGATAACAACTAACATTGAGTTTCAGTTGATTTAAAGGAAATCAAAAACTCTGCAATCCTTGAAAAAATCGTTCCTTCTTCTTTCTTATATTTGCGTTTATAAATCATTTCTCACTTACAAAGCTTGATGAAACCTAAATTTTACAAGTCTGTTTAACTTCTTCATTCCCAAACATCTCGCATAATTGCACTTTCCGCCAATATTAACTTTATTCCTTGAACATTGTGCAAATTGCTTTTGTGAACCAGGTACTCAATGTTTAGATATTAAATCCAGGGACGCCGGAACTTGGGGGCAAGGGGGGCAACGGCCCCCCTTGCCTTTTCTGGAGATGGGCGGGGGGGGGCAAAAGTGCCCTACAGGTTGAAAATTTATTGTTTTTAATCCAAGATAAAGACTACTTAACCGTTGTGGGATATTGCATTCTTTTTAGCTTAGCAATAAAATTGTCGTAACTATGTTAGTTTTCCTTTAACATTTCTTTGTTTTAAGTACGTTTTGTAAGTTCTGTGTTTGTTTAGTTAGTTCTTCTTTATTGTTGCAACGCGTGAGAACTTGAAACGCAATGAAAGAGTGAGTACTGCTTATGACGTAAAGGAAAGCTCGACTTATGTAATTACCGATAGTATAAATAACATGTAAATAATTAATTAACTCTAATAGATAGCGTAAGAATACTCCAGTGATGTACTTGTAGATTGTTTGGCTTGTAAAATAAAAGGTTCAAAACGAAGAGTGTTAGTGAACCAGCTGAGGAGCGAGTTCCTCGACAACCGTGAAACGTCATTTTTTAAATGTAAACAAGTAAAAATCACAATACCTTTGCAAATTTCTTTCGTTATTATTAAATCCAAAAACGTACCAGGAACATGACGTATAGCAAAGATATTTTTAATGGTAAACATCTGCTGGCATAAATGGCTCAGTCACCTAAACACTGATGACTTTGAAAGGGATATTTTTTGCATCTTATCGCTTTTTCTGCAAAACCAAGAGCAGTAAGATATAAAAAAGATTCAGCAAAAGCATTAGCGAAAGCAGCTGCTAAGCCGGGTCAATCAAAAATAACATCGCTGTTTGCAAAAGGAAACACAGGCCATGATTTTGATTCTGCTTCAACAAGCGGAATTGACACTGTAATAACTATCTATACTGAAAAAGCCTCAGACTGTGAGTCACAAAAATGGTCCAAACCGAAAAGTCTGATTGGTCAAACAGAAAAGATATGCATGAAAACGACATGGGTAAAACATGAGAAAGACTTTACAAGTGAAGACAAGGAAAGTAGTGTGAAGCATGGTCGATATTTCCAAGGTCAGTGGTTACGAAATTATGAGTGGCCAGTGTACAATCAAGAAAAAAATAAGGCTTTTTGCGAAATTTGTTCTACCCACTTTAAGATAAAGGGAGTGTTTGGCAGTTATGAAGTTGGATTTGTTAACTGGAAAAAAGGCTGTGAGAAATTCAACGAACATGAAAACAGTTACGCTCATAAAGAAGCTTGTGCCACATTAGACAAAGGGCAATTGTCTATTAGCATAGCCTGCAGTTCGCTTGCTCTTGAAACGCAGCAGTTAAGGCGGAAAGGGTTGATTTCACATCTTCAAACATTAAAAACACTCTTACGCCAAGGTATTGCGATTAGAGGTAAAACGGATTTTGAATCTAATATTCATCAGTTCAATCTTGATAAAGCTATCAACGACAAAGCACTAAAACTTTTACTAGACGAGAACCGATACGTAGCTGCACACGACATCCTGGACGAGCAGAAACAGATGATTGTAATAAATGCTCGAAGACATTTGACTGTTAAAATACTAGTGAGAGAATCATTTTCAATTCTAGCTGACGAATCACCAGACGTATCTAAGAAGGAACAGTTGTCTTTCTCCGTAAGGACCTGTGATGATAATTACGAAGTATCGGAAGATTTTGTTGGAATTTATGAATGTTTGCAAGGACTTTCATCTGATGCATTACTGTACTACACCAAAGATATCCTTCTCAGATGTGGTATGGAAGGTCACAAAATGGCAGCTATGGGCTTTGATGGGCTTCAGCAATGAAATCCCTCGCAAGAAAGCTCAAGGAAGATATTGCACCAAACGCAATTTATGTTCATTGTTTCAGTCACTGCAATGAACTTATTATACAGGATGCAGCTAAGCAATCTAATTTATTTTCTACGTCACTGGATTTATGCCAATCCCTGTATGCAATCGTACACTGTAAATTTTAAGGTGTTAATTTAACACTAAAAAGTCGTGTTAAATTAAAAGGTACAGAATAACACCATTTCGGGTGTTATTTTCTTACTGGTGTTAAATTAACACCGAGTTTGGTGCTAAAATAGCGCCTATTCTTGGTGTTATTATAGCACTTGTTAAAGTGCTAATTTAGCCCTTAACGTCCGGTGTCAAAATGACACTTAAATTCGGTGTTATTTTGTAACCCCTTTTCTTATTATTTTATGTAAGGCCAGTTAAACACGCGACACAAAAATGCTGAGCAATAAATATATTTAAAAAAAAATGAAATGATTTATATGCATGTATTCACACATATAAATATATACAAAAACATAAAACATACTATAAACAAGTCAATATATGAAACAAGTAAAGTTAAATGTATATACACTAGGTGCCAAAAAAATGAGTCCAGCTCCAATATTGGAAAAATTGTGGGAAAAAATGTGTCTTTTGAAATATATAGTTACAGTAGCCACTTGAAAATGCGCAGTGAGACCTGAAATTGTCTCCCGCAATTGTTTCCAAGATATTTCACAATATCTAAGTGCATGGGCAGTACATTGGGAAATGGCTAAAGATTTAAATGAAGGAGTTAGAGGAAAAATTGTTGCTCTCACTAACGAAGGTTACTTACAACGAATGTTGCTGCAAAGCTGGGAGTGTCCAAAGGAGCTGTGCAGCGAACCGTGGAAAGATTTAAAAAGACGCAATGTTATTCCAGCTTACCAAAACCTGAGAGACCACGTATAACAACAAAGAAAGAAGATCAGTTCATAAAACTAAGTTCTTTGCGTAACAGACAAGCAACTGCTAGCAACATTCAATCGTCAATTAACGCCACCCGAGAGAAAGCAATCAGCAAAACAACAGTAAGAAGGAGATTGGCTTCAAGTGGTCTGAACGGAAGAGTTGCAGCTTCCAAGCCGTTGCTTCGCCCGATAAATAAGCGGAAGAGATTCTTATGAGCCAAAAATACAGGCATTACAGCGTAGACAATTGGAAAAAAGTACTTTTTACTGACGAATCAAAGTTTGAAATACATGGAAATAATCACCGTGTTTATGTGAGACGAAGATGTGGTGAAAGATTGTCAAGTCAGTGCCTCAAGTCCACCGTGAAGCATGGGGGTGGAAACATTCAAGTCTGGGGCTGTTTCAGCTTTAATGGTGTTCGGAGTCTTTACAGAATAAAAGGTAATCTTGACAAAAGGCAATACCATTCTATTCTCCAAAGGCATGCTGTACCATCTGGCAAAAGGTTATGCGGGAGAGGATTTACCTTACTTCAGGATAACGATCCGAAACACAGCTCCAACTTGTGCACAAATTATTTAAGGAACAAAGAAAATCAGGGTGAATTGAAGCTCACGGCATTTCCGCCTCAATCGCCCGATGTTAATCCAATTGAACACTTATGGGATAAGTTTAAAAGAGAAAAAGTGAAACATGACGTAATAAGCCAGGACAGGCTATGGGATGTAATCTCTACATGTTGGCATAATATTGAACCATCTACACTTCAAAATCTTGTTAAATCAATGCCAAAAAGAGTTGAAGCCATTTTGAAAGCTAAGGGAGGACATACCATGTACTGACATTGCTTTTTCGAGAACTTAAAACCTAACATTGTTGTGACAGAGTGGTGATATGGTTCAAAACTAAAAATATGCATTCGATATTTAGTGGACTTATTTTTTTGGCACCTAGTGTATATATATAAAACAGCTTAGAAACATCTTTGTTTCTGGCTGCTTTTGTGTAGTTTGAGACACACAAAGAGATCTTGTTGTTGAATTCGTCTTCTTTCTACGCATGTTTTTGAATCGATTAGTGATTGCTTTCAACCATGACCCCTGTAACGAAGAAAGTTCATGCTGTACATTATAAGAGATAGCGAGCAAAGCTATAGGATTTCTTCTAAAGATTATCATATGCATTAAATAATATGAATATGACTTACTGTACCAGCTCCAAGTGAATCGACGAGAAAAGTATATTTTTCTACAATCATGGACGCCACTCTTTGTTTTTCTTCTCTGGATGGAAACATTGTATGAGCTTTAATAGAAGAACAAATGTCCCTAGTAAACTCATCCCAAAGGTTTCCATTAAGTTTTCCTGCTTGCAGTGCTTCATTCACTCTTGGAGAAAACTGTAAAATACAAAAGATAAATTTTAACATTAGAATGTGACCTATTATGAGGTATATTATTTAACATTCAGAAATAGGAAGTTTAAAACCTTTTATCCAGTTCTTGTTCGGTTTCCTTTCTTCCACAAGTACAAAGCTTGGTGAAGGTTGATTACTCTTTTCAGATGCTATGGTATGTCGAGGTGTACTAGATGTTGTAGGTGACGGTGTGCCTGTTGACAAATGAGCTTCTTCAATTGACGCTGAAAAATTGCTGACATTGTCATTTATGGCAAAGGAATGACTAGTGGATAAAGCGATCTTCTGGGTGGATGGTTCAATGGTGGATGGAACATTTCTTAATGGTAGAAACTTGTCCAAGTTGTTAATCGTTGCCAATGCATTTTTGATTCGTATAACTTGCCCTCCTTTTATGCCACATGCCTTCAACAGCTCATCAGATGTATTGTTTAAAATACCAGCTGAATCAAACTATTCAAGTACAAAAAATCAAAATTAAATTAAAAAGATATATATATGTTAATGACTGAGCGAGAGGTTCGTACAGGAGGATACTGGTCGAGTTGTTTTTTCGCTTGTACTGACCGAGACTTTGGGGAGGTCCATTCAAGCGAAAAAAGAAGAGCCATTTGATGTTTGGATTGGGCTTTGACCAATCAGAACGCGCGTGAAATAAATGTAAAAATGTTTTCCAGAGGTCCCAAACGGCCAGAGGCCAAAGGCCGTTTTTTATGTCGAGAGGAACTATTTTTCTATTCGGACCGAAATATAAACGGTAAATAACGTATTTATTTCTTGTCAAGCGGTTATGGCCGTTGTGCCATAATGTAATCTTGAATTTCATGCGTAAAACTTTCGTCGCTTTCATCCATGTTTACGTTTTCTGCTATATTTTCGCTATCATTTTCCACGATATTTCCAAGCTCGTCGGCATAGTAAAACTCGCTTTCCGAGTGAGAACTATCATTCAAATCCATTGTTAAAAACGTTTTCCAAATAAATTTTTTAAATTACTAAAGCAGCTTAATTTATTGGCTTTAACATTTGCCAGGATTCCGCGGACCGGAGTAAAAAAAATGAAGTAATTTATTCGAACATCAACTTAGCATGCTGCAATAATATTGATTTGGTATTTTTACTTCATAGTCTAATGTAGTTTGGAACCACAGCAGTTGAACTTTCACTCATAATGCTTGACGTCTTAGATTACTTAGTCATTTTTTATCTTTACATTTTATTTCCCTCAATAATTTTCCCAACTAAATTCAAGTATTGTTTTTTCGGTATGGAATAAATATTTACCAAGCAGTGTTAACAAAAGCAACAAAAAGTCGTCTAGTCACAACGTCAACACGCAAAAATTCACGCACTCATGCTAAAATTAATTTTATACACATACCTCTTCATCTTCAAGAATAGAAATTACACTGTCCTTTACCCCTGCCTTCTTAAGATTATCAAGCAACGTGGAATCCATCCGACCTTAAACGCATAAAAATTTGTAAAACACAAATACAAAAATTTCTACATGAAATATAAGCACGAGGAAAAGTATGTGTCACAAGAAATTTCATAAGAAAATATATTCAAGAAAGCTTTGTATTTACCTTTTTAAAAGAAGGGAGATCGTCGAAACCAAATAACTTAAATCCAATGGCTCTTTAAGCCTGGTAATATTGACTTTTACGTTTAGTTCACAATAAAATATAATTTGACAATGCTGCACAAACAGGTGAAATCACGATGAAAATCATGAAATGAAATATGATCAGTGTGACAGTGACAGTTGGCTATAAGCATTTTACCGCGTTTTTGCATATAGTCGCTAATATCACATTTCACACCATATATGGTAACAGAGTTGAGCAGGCACTCTCTTCAGAAGTGAATTGTATTCTTGAAGTGAATTATGTCATGTAGCGTCTATATCGATGTAATATTTGCCTAGAATTCGTTTCAGATTCTCTTCAATTACTAATAACACATATTGGCCGTGTTCATCGTGATGAACCAAATTTTCATGTTGTTTGTAGCATCGATGGCTGTGCCAGGACGTTTAAGAAATTTTTTTCATTGAGAAATCACCTTATTCGAAAACATAACATTGTGCGCAATACGAGGAACAGCACAGAACGAAAACAGCTGCAGTTTGATATAAGTATAAAAATAAGTTAAAAAAACAGTTGAAATAAGTGTTATTTTGACACCCATGATTTTACAAGGAGAGTGGTGCAGAAATACCGCCCTTTATAAATTATTGTAACTCTTGCTAATGGCGTTAATTTAACACCAACCACTTAACGCCAAGAAACAGTGTTACTTTAGCACCTTTGTGGCAGAACAAGGTGCTATTTCAGCACTATTAATTGGGTGTTAAAGTGCTGAGGTGTAAATTTAACACGCTACAATATGTTTCAGGTCATATGTTGTTAAATCAACACCAATATTGGTGTTATAATAACACCTTTTATTTAACACCACGGGTGGGTGTCAGTTTAGCACTAGAGAAAGTGCTAGTTCAACACCTCAAAAATAACAGTGTAGGTGCCCATCCAAAACGTATTTTATTGTTCGAAAAACTACGGGCAGATTTTAGAAATAAAACAGGAACAAACGATTACAAAGTTCTACGACTCCAAAGTCTTTCTACAACGAGATAGACAACAAGAGTAAAGGCTGCTGACGTCATCTTCGAGAAATCGGCTAAAGTACATGCAACCGTTAAAAAGTTGCAGGAAGATCCTAGCATTTCGGCAGACACAAAAGCAAAGATTAGAGGAATAATAAGGCGACAGCTGTCTTCCTTAATCGTCATCTTTAATTTAAACGCGACAAGAAAGCTATTGGCTTTACTCGTGAAGCTTTCTAAAGAGCTCCAAGCGGTTGATATTTCAGCTGAGTACGCTCTATTTTCAATAAGACATGTCCTGCAACGTCTTCATTGAGATGAGAAGCGAAGAAGAGTTTGAGCGTACACTTGATGACGCTAAGAAAGTTTTTCGTGTTATGATGTCGTTTCCACTGGAATTTAGTGAAAATTTTGGCACTGGCACTAGACTAAGAAAAGTTCCAAGACGGATGAATAATGAAGAAATGTTAATAATAGAAAGCCTTCACGTCACAGATGCCTCAGTTCACAACAGTGCGAATATAACACAAATGCAAAGCTCGTACTACCAAGCCACTGATGCAATCATCTCAGGTCTAGGATCGCGATTTGAAAAAGACGATCGTTTCCAGATCAAATGTATCGAGGAACTGTTACTTAACTCCATGAAAGAAAGAGGAGTATCTTTAAATGGATTAAGCAATTTTTGATTGATAAAGATGTTCTAAGAATGCAATTCTTGGGCTTTACAACGCGGATCAGAAGAAAAAAATAACAGAAGTCACGCGTATTTCAGCAATAGCAGAGATATTCAATGCCATGCCGTCAGCGAAGAAAAGGTGCTCAGAGATCCACAAACTAATTATACTATACTACACAGTGCCACTCTCATCTGCCTCGTTCGAACGCACATTCAGCGTAATGCGTTGTCTCAAAACATGACTGCGGTCAAACACTTTAGGAAATCATCTGAATGATATTATGTTCTCCAACATTCAGAAGCAACACATGAATATGGTTGAAATAGACGTAATTGCCAAAGAGTTTTCACAGAGAAATGAAAGAAGAATTAAATATTTTGGAAAATAATATACATGACAAATTGTAAATTAGTGACGTTACATCGTTTGATAGTTACATTATCGTTAATATTCATCGACCAACATTGCAGACATGTGCCCTTCCACAAAGGCTTGCCCCTCCTGCCCTTTTCCCGTTCCGGCGTCCCTGATTAAATCAACTACTTATTGTTATATATCTTGGGACAATGGAATATACTTTTTTGAAAATGAACATGCACATACATTGCAGCTATCATGAATTTGTGGAAGGCTTTCAAAAATTACTCTCAAAGAAAGTGTGAGTAATTAGTCAAATCTAATTGATATTTTAAATTAAAAAACACGCGTTGGGTGCATTAATTGTTTAGTGTATTGTATTTACTCTTCATTGTTAATCGTCATTTATATAATAACCATAAGAATTTGACTAACTTCCTTGGTGAAGAGCCATGATTTATAAAAAGACATACGCACGGAATTGACGTCACAGAAAATTTAATGTTTATAAAAACAAACAAATCGCGGATACATTCGAAAATTTATCCCAATATCTTCCTGAATGGGAAAATAAAGATATTCACAAAGATCTAGTTGAGGCAGTTAACCTATTTGAGGAAAAAGAAAAGAAAAAACCCGGTTTCAAACATTAATTTGTGCTTCGTCTTCGATAACAAAATTTCAACAAAATTGATCAGCCATTGCATGTTTTTTTTGTTAGCCAATCACATTTTATCACGTGATTAAACAAGCCAATAGCTTTTCTTCAATTCTATAGACACGTAAGCGTGATATTTGCAAAATCAAGACTTTGATAGATGACACTCCATCCCATTGGTAAAATTATATTCTTTAAAAATTCAAAACCAATAGTGTTTTGCTGAAAGTACTTTAAATTTGAAAATAAGCAGCTATAATTTATTTTGACTAATGCTGGATCCGCTACTGATTGCAATTACTAAAAAAAGTAACGATTTCAACCAACTGAATGACGTACGTAATAGTCCGGAGTATAAGACCTAGCATTGTTCAAATTCATGAAGAAAGTCTCAAATTCACTATTTTGCATTGGTTTATCAATGAAATTAAAATAGAGGTGAGACCCCAGCAAAATACCTTTTTGTTTCCGAGAAAATTATCAATAAATTTTGCCATATATTTTAATAGTAAAGGCACAGGGATCCCATTTCAAATAAAAGAAAATCGACAAAACAATTTAGTTCTCATCGCATTTATATCCTCTTGGAAGTAAGTATTATTAAGCGATATATAATTCGTATAAATTGTCATTTATACCAGTAAATTTCACATACTTTCAATAAAAAAATGAGAAGAATATTTGGGATTTCTTGATTTATTGGTGTTATTAAATTTTACAAGAGCATGAAAATGTTTAATAATGATATTGTATCACCTGTCGTCTTCACTGCAGTGTATTCTTTTGATTCATTTTCGGGATTATTTAGGAATATTACTTACTTATTAATCTTGGTAACAGCTACCACCACATTTGCACAATGCTGTGCATGGAAGATTGGACTTGGTACATTTGCACAAGCCCCTACATGCTTTCTTGCAACCACAGTGCACCAGTTCGTTGCACGCTTTGGAAGCCTCTGGAAGAGTGCTCCATGTAGGAATCCATCTGCCATTATTTTGCCATCCCCACTGCGAAGGAAGCGGTAACTGTTGAACTGAAACTAACGACTGACCCCAAACATGACCAGCCTGATATGTTGCCCTCCGAATGTGCTGTACCAAGGAGGCTTGGGTTGGTGGAATGTGGTCGATTGTCTTAGTACCTTGTGCAAATATAGCTTGTCTAGCATCATTGATGTTGGAGAGCGGGCATGTGCGGGAATACATAATAATGATAAATCTTTCAATTTTTCCATTTCTTCTTCTGAGATGGATTCTTTTGGAGATGAAAGAAGCTGAAACACACTGGTAACATCAGGAAAAGACTTCCAGGCTTGAAATGCAGTCTTTTTACCTTTTCCAGCAAAGAACGACACAGTATCACAACCAGTGACAGCATGAAAGAAGGGTAGGGCTTCACATTGCTCCCTACTCAACGAGCTTTGTGTAATGTTATGAATTGGTAAGTACCTCATGTGTTTACCAACACCAAAAGCAATCCAAAGTTCATCTACATCTAACTTGTGCACGTTTGCTATTGCTAACACAACAACATCTGTGTCTACAGTTCTTATGACAATTTTCCTCATTCCACCTTTCGCTGCATGGTTTGCATGAATGAAAATGCGCGTATCGGCCTCCTCGTGATTGCAGGGAGCTAACTCATCTTTTCGATTGGCTTCGAACTTATTATGTCTTCCTCAAAAGTGCTTACAATTGTAACATTTGGCAGTTGAATCGATGTTGCTGCCTGACTGAGGTACTTGAAAAGTTCTTGTTTGTTGTCATCTGATCTTAAAATGATTTCCAGTTTGCAGGGATCACAGCCATGTCACATACTCTTCTTCTTGCCCCTACAGCGCCTCGCGATGAACGAGTACCCTGCTTAAGGCTGTCGGGTATATAACGGTCCCAAACAAGATCTATTCTTCTAATACCATTTGCTTGTTGAACAATATAAGGAACAAACACTGATTTGGAGTATTCTTGAAAGGTCTTACACTTCCCTGGGCTAAGCATGTTTACAATAGCTGCGGCATCCAAGATTTTGACATCAACATTTGGACAGGTGGTCTGCACATCAGCTTCGAGACAATCAATCAATTCTGATTTCTGGCCACTTCGCATCTTGTCCCCTGATGATAATGAAGGAGGAGTACTCTGGTTTTCATGCTTAAAAAAATTCTTGGAGATTCCCTTCTCTTGACTGACAAGCAATGTACAACCTTGCAAAAAGATTGCAGTCATTCTTTAATGTTGTGACTTGAAGTTTCGTCTTGTTGGTTGTCGTTGGTACTGATGTTCCAAAAAAGTGGAAGCTTATTGCGTTCAATTGTGTCAGTTATTGGTGTGTTACACTTTTCAAGTCTCTCTTCGACGTACTTAGTGTATTGTGCTTCTCCGATCTTTCG